GGTGGGGGGTGGGGAGCTGGGGAGAGATAGCAAGGGGAGAGATGCCAGACGTAGGTGATGGGGAGGAAGGCAGCAAATCACACTGCCACGTGTGTTCCAATGCAACAATTTTGCATGTTCTTCACATGTACCCCAAAACCTAAAATGCAATAAAATAAATAAATAGGGAAAAAAAAAAGACTCAAATTTTAAAATAAGTTTCTTAGTATTTCCCCATTAGCTTATTTCTTTTCATTATATTGATACTTCATAGTCCAGAAGCAATAAACTAACATTTGTGTCTCAGACCCTGAAGTTCTGGTTTTTCTCAGACCTCCTTTAGTCAGGTATAAGCAATGTGTTTTGAAGTAGAAAGGAAAAATATTTACTGCGCAGTACCAAATCCAGACAGTCTTATTGGATCTTGCCTGTTGATAGCCCCACTCCTATCTTAGCCCAGAGACCTTTTTTAAGTCTGCCTATGTTTGAAAACATTCCAGACTCTCCATCAAGTACCACATCTTCTGCATAGACACACACGATTCCTCCCTTATGCCTTTCCATATGCCAGTGATGTGCAAGCTATGCATGTAAGTCATTTCTTGTTATTACATGCAAGGCTATCAAATCAGAATGCAATTATTTTCCAAGTAAAGATTGAATTTGCCAGATATACATTATGTTCCCTTATCATATTTCACATCAGTCAAAACCAGTCATTTCTTTTTAACAACAAGGGCATCAAACCTAGAAAATACTCAAGTTTATTGAAATTTTGGGTTTTTATTGAATATGCTATGGAAAAGTAGGAAATCCGTAATGGAAAAACTGCAAAGCCTAAATAGAATCACAGCCCATTTATGAACAGCTGAAATCAGACATACATAATTCTAAACCAGGTAGAACTATTAATCAGACTTTCATACTTTTTTTTTTTTTTTTTGAGGCAGGGTCCCACTCTGTCACCTAGGCCAAAGGGTAGCGGTTCAGTCATAGCTCACTGCAGCCTAAAACTCCTGGGCTCAGGCAATCCTTCTGCCTCAGTGTCCCCAGCAGCTGGGACTACAGGTGTGCCCTACCACACCCAGCAAACTTTTCTTTTTTTAGGTTTTGTAGGTGGGGTCTCACTATGTTATGCAGGCTGGTCTCAAACTCCTGGGGTCAAGAGGTCTTCCCGAGCTGGGCACAATGGCACAGGCCTGTAATCCCAGCACTTTGGGAGGTCGAGGCAGGAAGATCACTTGAGGTCATGAGTTAGAGACCAGCCTGGCCAACATGGTGAAACTCCGTCTCTACTAAAAATACAAAAATTAGCTTGGTGTGGTGGCATGCACCTGTATTCCCAGCTAGTCAGGAGGCTGAGGTAGGAGGAACACTTGAGCTCAGGAGGTTGAGGCTGCAGTGAGCGAGATCACATCACTGCACTCCAGCCTGGGCAACAGAGTAAGAGCTTGTCTCAAAAAAGTCACCTTCCTGCTTCTGCCTCCCAAAGTACTGGAATTACAGGTGTGAGCCACCATGCTGGGCCTCATACACTTTTTATTTTATTATTATTTACTATTAAAACCAAGAGAAACTTACCAAATCCACTTGCATTACACAAAAATGTAGAGGCTTACTGCCTTATCTTCTCATCTCATCTTTCACATGGGGAAAAAAAAATCTTTCAAACAGGGAAAAAAATCATCTTTTACCCAGGGGAAAAAATTACCTTCTACAATTATTTTTTGGAGTATAAGTTATAATTTTATTCTTATTGCAGCACTGCCTATGAAGTCACTGCTCATGAATGCAAGAAAAAAAATTACTGGTCTTAAAGCACCATCTAGTGGGAAAATAAATGCCACAGTTAATAAGGTCACTATAGAACAACTACTTGTATTTGGGTTTTGTGGTTAATTTTGGTATTCTTTGAGGGTTTTTTCCTGCCAAAATATGATTAATTTGAAGAATGTACTTAGGTTTTTTTGAAAATTTTTATTTACCACCAATATTAACTACTTATTCTTTTTATCTATTTCTGAAATAAGGTTTAAGGCAGGAGGCTGACAAAATATCCTAAGGTAGATCTGTTAGTTCTGCCTGCTGTTTCAGTACAGGAACTTAGAGTAAAGCCATATCCCTTTAAAGTATTCTTTATAAAATTAAAGGAAAAATGTCTCCTAGAATTCAAATAATGTCACTGTTTTTCAAACAATCGAATTTAACAAAGGGCTTTTTTAATCCACTAGTTCAACTGAATTTTATTCAAATTAACAAAACAGTGAGCTATTAATTTAGATGTTCTTGAACTCCCTGCTTTTACACTCAGTTTATAAACACTAAAAGCAGGTTTCTCTGCACTTCTACAAGTTTCATTTAATAACATGTAAAGGGGTGGTATATTTTGTACATCAGTCTATTTCTGTCTATAAGACCCTGGAGAGAAAAAGTGAAAAAGTGTGTGTGTGTGAGTGTGTGCGCGCGTGCGAGCACACGCGCCTCCTAGCCAAAACTAAAACATGGATAACTATTTTTCCAACATGTACAACGTCAGTAATAAATACTTACAATCTTAATCGAGGTTCAACACATCTGACAAAATAATCATATTCATCCTCCTCTTCTTCATCCCAACTCCTCCAAATGTTTTGGTAGAAAAATCTGAAATGAAACTTAGTATAATTCAAATTCTACAACTGGCTCAAAACATTAGGATTTTGGAGGGGTGAGACCTAAAGAGTAAATCAAAACAATTCTCCTATCTTAGAGAAGGTTGCATATTTGCTATGGTTGATAGTCATGAGTCACGCAGCATAGAGATCTTTTGTGGGTCAGCTAAAGAAGTTTCTCCAAATCCTTGGTTTTGTTAGGACTTTTTTTTTTCTGAGACAGAGTCTCACTCTGCCGCCCAGGCTGGAGTGCAGTGGCACAATCTCAGCTCACTGCAATCTCTACCTGCCAGGTTCAAGTGATCCTCCCGCCTCAGCCTCCCGAGTAGCTGAGATTACAGGTGTCCACCACAATGCCCAGCTAATTTTTTGCATTTTTAGTAGAGATAGCGTTTCACCACGTTGGCCAGGCTAGTCTCAAACTCCTGACCTCATGATTTGCCTGCCTCGGCCTCCCAAAGTGCTGGGATTATAGGCGTGAGCCACTGCCTGGAAATTGGGTCAATAATTATCTTGCTTGCATTAATATTTCTTAATGTATATATAGTTCACATTTATTTCAATGTTTAAGATTATAATTGTGACCTTCCGTTCGGTCGGTCCTTCCTTCCTGCTTCGCCTCCACGCCTCCCGCTATGGGGCAGAGCCCCCGATACGCTAGCACCATCTGGGGATCCAGAAACCGGCTCCACAATGGAAGAGGACCAGGAACTGGAGAGGAAAGCCATAGAAGAACTGCTTAAGGAGGCAAAACGTGGAAAAACTAGAGCTGAAACAATGGGACCCATGGGTTGGATAAAGTGTCCTCTTGCTGGTACCAATAAAAGATTTCTAATTAACACAATTAAAAACACATTGCCCACTCATAAAGAGCAAGACCATGAACAAAAAGAGGGCAATAAGGAACCAGCGAAGAGCCAGGCCCAGAAAGAAGAAAACCCGAAGAAACACAGAAGCCATCCTCACAAGCACAGATTCCATGCCGGAGGTTCTGTCAGTTACTCCCCACCACGGAAGTGGAGCAGCCAGGACAAGTACAAAAGACGGCCCAACTGGCAGTGAGGCCAGAGCCAGGGCCAGCCAGCCCTGCGGGCTCTGTGGTCCTTCAGGTGCGGTGTGCAGAGACGTTAGCTGGCAGGGCAAACATCTGAGAGTGACTTTTACAGTAGATCCTTTGTTGTTCTTAAAGAGGCTGCTAGCCATTGGCAAAAAATGATCTAGCAACTCTTCCAGGAAACAAGGACAAAGGAGGATGTCTTGGCAAGTTTAAGCTACTTCTGCAGTGTAGTAGAAATGTATTATTGTTAGTCTATCTTGTTTGGAAGTGCGTTTCAAAATATGTATAGAATTTAAAGTTTTCAAAAATTGTTAAAACTAGTTCCAATTTTTTGGTCATTTCTCAAGAAAAAAAACACTTATAAATCATATATGTTACTTTTTGGGGGTATCAAATTTAAAATTTAGAAGTCATCAGTCCAGTGACCATATTTATGAAAAGCCGTAGCCCTCCAAGGTCTGGGAATTTATCAAGAAACTCTTTGATAGCTCTGCATTTGTTTCCCTTTAGGTGAACAATGTAGGACATCCTCAAAGTGGCTTTGAATTTTACGCTCCACTTCAGTTACCAGAGGTTAAACAATGGGTTCTGTTGTTTTCTGTGCATTCTCAAACTCATTTATTAGAACAATTTTTCTATATTTAATTTTTTTAATATATAGGTTTTAAGTGGTGCTTTAAAAAGATCCCTCACAAGTTAAAAAAATTAAGTTATTTCGGTGCTAGATCTTACCAGCTAAAGACGTAACGATACCACTATTAGTGTAGTTGTTCCAGAAATCTTCATTTTAAATAGAAGTGTTTACAGCGTCTTCTCCCCCACCCCCCAGTACTGGTTTTCAGTACCTGTTTTAATATACAATTACAAACCTTTCAAACCTGTATTCCTTCTTTACACTCAGGAAATTGTCATCAAACGCCCTCCTCCCCAGTCCACAAAAGGAAGAAGATGAAGATTCCGTCTCCCTGTTCCCCTCCCCAGTTTTCCAAAGTGTCTGAGTGTATGCCTGGCTGTCCCCAGATCATCACCATGCCACATCCCTGCTCCCCACTTCCTGGCAGCCAAGGAAAGCCCTTTCTACATGCTAGAAAGAAATACATCTGAAAAGTTAGCTTTGGGGTATTAGAAACTAGAATAGACTTCTCCGCCACTGAGCTGCTGTGCCACACCCTCATCCTGCTAGGGAGGGACAAACCCAAAGCATTTTAATCCACCCCTTCTCCCACCCCAGATCCCAGGGACTCATTCTGTGACTTTGTAACCACACTCATTCCTTTCAAACACAGAGGAGGAATCATTGCTTCATCTGAATTTATTCAAATATAGTAATGCATTAGCCAAAATTATTTGTGCAAAATTTGAAATGTTTTGTATTTAAATATTAGAAATAGCACAAAGTTATGGAGTTTTAAAAAATTGTTATAATTAAGTAAAAATAAAGCTGAATTGTGTCAAAAAAAGATTATAATTGCTTGGAGTCTTTATTTAGGAGTTTGATGATGTTTTCATGACCAGATATATGATACAGAAGCTTTAATTTTGTTTATATCAGTCAGCCTATGGTAAAACTAGTTTCATTAATGTCGCAGTTTCTAGGAACCTACTAATAACAGTAACTGAGGATTTTACTACAATGCCTGGCTATGTCTTTTTGTGATCAACAGATTCAGGTTGTCAGCCTGATGCACTCACTACAAAGTTCTCTTTCTCTAATGGTTGCAGTAGTCATTGATGTTCACAGTCTAGAACCTTTATTTCATTAATGGTTACAAAATACTGATAGACAGTCTATCACTTTCTTCATGTATTGGTTAGAATACTTTTGTAAAGAAATTCCTTAGGTGATTCCAAAGTGCTTCCAAGGTTGATTAGAGAGAAGACAGTAGATGGCCTAGGGCTGATCCCTGGATAACTCCGACATTCTAAAGTTTAAGCATGAGAGGAAAAGCTGGCCAAGATGACCAAGAAAGCAAGCCAGTAAGACATCAGCTGAACAGTGGTGTCCCAGAAGCTGAGAGGAGAGTGTGTTAAGAAGATGGGAATGATCAAACACCTAGTATGTCAAGAGGTCAAGCAAGGTAAGATCAGAGGCAAGACGAGACAGTGAAATGTCAACTGAATACAAGAACATGAATACAGAACTGAATACAAGAACATGGAAGTCTTCGAGCACAATTTCAGAGATGAAGTCAGGGTAGAAGTGTTACCGGAACACCAGGAAGTATACACTGTGACTATATACAGCTCTTTCAAGAAGTTCTGTTGTGAAAAGAAAGCACTGAAAATGAAACCAGCCATCTCTTAATTACTATAGATTGGGCTGTTAGTCCCTTCACCCTCTAGTAGAGTCTTTTTATTTTTTGTTTTTGTAATGAAAAAAAAAAACACCTCTGCTGCCTCCCTTTTAGCCCTCAGAAAGAAGTCCTGAATGTACTACTATAAATAGATTCATAATCTGACCCTATTGCACCTCTCCTGCCTCAGACCTGTTGTACATAAACTCTCAATTTCACAAGCTCTTTCAAACCTCCACGTAACATGTTAGTCAAGCTGCCAGAAGTGCCTTCCACCTTTTCCACCTGGTAAGCTTATAGTTACATTCCATGACTCGGCTTCAATGTCATCCTCACCAGTACCAATGCAAGCATTTACACATCATTCCCATCTGTACCTCCCCTAGTGTTGATTCTTTCAAGCCAGAAATGTGGAAGTCAGCCTTGACTTCTCTCATATCACTCACATCCTCTCATCTCCTATATCTACCGGACCACAAAGTCCCAGCCATTTTGCTTTCTCAGTAAGCCTCCATCTGTCCTCTCCATATCCCCACTCTAGTCCTCTCTCTTGCCTCTTAACTGGTCTCCCTATTTCATCTCCCACCATCTGTTTTCCACACAGAAGCCACGATGAACCCTTGAAAACACAATGCTGTACTTCAGGGGGCTGAGGTGGGAGGACTGCTTGAGCCCAGGAATTCAAGTCCAGCTTGGGCAACAGAGCGAGACCCCCATCTCTACAAAAAAAAAAAAAAAAAATGTAAAAAAATTTAGCTGGGCAGTGGTGGCACATGCCTGTAATCCCAGCTGATCCAGAGGCTGGGGCAGGAGGATGAATTGAGCCCAGGAGTTCAAGCCTGCATTAAGCCATAATTGCACCACTGCACTCCAGCCTGGGCAACAGAATAAGACCCTGTTTCCAAAAAAAAAACAAAAACACAAAACTAGTAATATTCGCCCAAAAATGAAAATCCTTCAGTGGCTTCCCATTGCTCTTAAAGACAGAAATGACTAGCTAACAAAGCCTTGCATCATCTGACCCCTGCCAACCTCTCTAATCTGGTTTCCTAGGTCTCTCCCAGCACTGTCTGTGTTCCAGCTATGCTGGCCTTTCAGTTCCTTAAACACACTCAGCTCCTAAATCTTTTTCCTTCCCCACCCCGCCACCCCTTTCCCCAAGCTAACCCAAGTTCAAATGTCATTATTCCAAAAAATAACCCTAGAACAGCAACTTGACCTAATCTGAGGACACCCTGTAATTCTTCCCAGCACTCACTGCTACTTCTAATCAAGTAGACATCTGTGCGTGATTATTTCATCAAGGTTCATCTCCTAGCTTTAGACAGGCAGCTCCCTGATGATGGTGCCTGTCTCATGCACCAGACATACTCCACCCTTGACTAAGAACCTGGCACTCAAATATTTATTGAATCAACCAACAAATGAAAACCCTCACAATTTGGCACTGACCCAAATCTCAGCCCTCAAAATGAAGAGTAAATTTAACCAGACTCCTCTTCAAATAATATTACCAAATAACATTCCAGATACTTATTTTTCTACCAACTTCAATGCCCATAGAGATTAGCTCCCTGATTCCTAATTTCCTAGACTTATCAGTTACCCCTTTATCTTCAAATGCTTCAATTGGCAGACTTTTTTAAAATGAGAAAAAGGGAAGGGAGTTCTTTTGGTTCTGGATGGAAACTAGTTTAGATTCATTCTGCTTGGCCCAATACTGAACATCTAGGGTTACATGTTCTTGCATACAATTAGAAACTGTCTGTAAGATGTTTGCAGAAGGGCCTGAGACACTCAGCTTCTTTGCAGAGCATTCAAATTAAGCTCAGCAAAACCAGGTTAACTCACTAATGGTATAGAAAATGGAAAGTACTTTTTATACTACAAAACACCAAGCAATATTATTTACATTATGGTCATTAATTATTACTCAGTTTTCTAGTACCTGGAGGAATATAAGTCTATTTTTAAATAGCTAAAGTCAGCCTTCTTTGGTGAATATACTTACATACAGAAGATCCAAAACAACTATCTGTATCAGGAGCCATCTAATAAAAGATTGATCTGAAAAATTGTTTAAATCATACCCACTGATCCAGGTATGGGCTTTCTTTCGCACGTAAGGGACAAGCGGTCCTTCTCATCCTCCTCAGCATGGCTCAGAGCTGATGGGAAATAACTATGGCAAAAAAGGCTGACAGGTAGGAATACAACCCCTAATGATCCTAAAAGCAGCCTAAGAAAACGCTTGCTTTAACCAGACCTATGCTTGAAAAACTGTGTATTCATCATTTAGCAGTGCATACAGCATGGTATATAACCTTCTTCACTGTCTTTCTCTTCTTCTACTTTCTGTAGTCTTATATTGACATATACCAACCATAAGCCTTAACATCCACAACTTTTAAGCCAGCTTATATACAAACCAAATTAAGAATCCCCTACTTTTGTTAACATTTGGGAAAATCAAGTAAAAGACAAATAGGAATTCTTTATACACTAGACCCTTGAAGAACAGGGTCTGAATTTCGTGGGGTCCACTGATAAGTTACACCGAGTGTGCCAGCCTCTCCAGCCTCCCTTTCCACCTCTCCAGCCTCCCTTTCCACCTCTCCTCCACTTCTTTTGCCTCTGCCATCCTGAGGCAGCAAGACCAATCCCTCTTTCTTCCTCTTCCTCCTCAGGTGAAGATGATGAGGATGAAGACCTTTATGATGATCCACTGCCACTTAATGAGTAAATACATTTTCTCTTCCTTATGAATTTTCTTAGCACTTTATTATAAGATAATACACATACAAAATATGTGTTAATCAACTATTTATGTTAATGGTAAGGCTTCTTTTCTGGTCAACAGTAAGCTATTAGTAGTTTAGTGTTGGCAGAGTCAAATGTTATACTCAGATTTTTGACTAAGGGTGGGGGAAGATAGGCACACCTAACCCCCACATGATTCAAGAGTCAACTATACTAGTTTTTTCTGCTTTTCTCAAAGTTTGAAATTATCATAAAATGATTTAAAACATTTTTAATTTTTTTAATTTAAAAAAGATTATCCTGTCTTTGGATATTTTTAAATATTGCAATGACCAAGTTTATAGTTGAGTTTTAAATCTAGGTCTAACACAAACCAGAATTACTTCATTTCATCCAAAGTTTCTGTCCACAAGGTTATTTTTCTCAGCCTCTTTTCCTACCTGACATGCTCAATTGCAAGGGCTGTCTGGTCAAACACTCCCGAATCATCAAATACCACCCACAGCTCCTGCAGGGGCAGCCGATGTTCCTTCAGATCCAGGAGTTCCTTCATACACTCCATGGTAAAAGCGCTCACTTGAGAGTCACAGAGGTATGGTTCGGCAAGCCTCACCACTGCCTTCAAGGCTGCAAAGTCCACATCCGTGACCTGAAATTCAAAATAATGTGATTTAACATAAGGAAATCAAAATTAAGATACACCTATAAGACACTAATGACAGCCTGATTTTTTTAAAAGCATACAACAGGAGTGGGGAACCTTTACCCATAATATAAAGGATAAACAAGACAGGCTGGCTCTTACCCTCATGGAGCTTACACTGTAATCAGGGAGATCAATAAGCACGATGGTAACGAGTAGGTGACAGAGAGTAACCAGCAGGGGTGAGGATCTGATTCTGCTGAGATGGCCAGGGATGTCAGCTCTGAGCCAGGCTGAGGAGGATGAGAAGGAAGTGGCCATCTGAAGAGCAGGAAAGGCGCAGAAGACCTTTGGCAGAGACAGGGTTGGCAGCTGAAGGAGCAGAAAGACAGTCCTTGCTGGAGCCAAAGGGAGGAAATGGAGGAGGGGTGTGCAGTGGAGCAACAAGAGATGAGGTGAGAGAGAAAGGCAAGGAGACTAGGACATGAAGGACATCCAAAGGAGCATGGATTTTATATGTTTTCTACACAATGAGAAGCCGAAATGCCAATACTAAGACCTTAGTAAAGGCAATGCATTAAAAGTTTTAAGCAGAGAAATGTCATGCTTCTATTTTAAAACAATGAGTTTGATTGTTTTCAGAGAACTGACTGGTGGCGGTGGGGCGGTGGGTAACTATCATAAACAAATGAATAGGCCTGAGCTTCAACCAAAAAATAGCATAATCTATTTTTAAATAGATTTAAAATTTTAAATTTTAAATCTATTTAAAAATAGATTAAATTTTTAAGTAATTTAAATTTTTAAATAATTTAAAATTTTTTAAATTTCAACCTTTAAAAAATTTTAAAACTCACAAGCAACAGCTGGGCAATCCACTACCTCGTACATAATCACTGCAGTATGTGATGCCATTTTCTAAGGGAGCCGCAACAACAACTTGGATTCACACCCCCTGGTTTGACATTTTAGTTTACTAGGGCTTTTTGTGGTCAGTTAGCAAACACTGAGAAAAATTCAAAGCTGTAATTAGAATGCAAATGTAATGTAAAAGGCCCAGTCAGGTGAAAAATAAGATTGTTTTTACATTCTGCAGTGGGACACACTGTCAAGAGATTATCCACATACAACTTTGCTAAGCAAAAAGTGGGCTATTTTAAAAATGCCTCTTAGCAGAGGTTGCAGTGAGATAAGATCGTGCCACTGCACTCGCCTGGGCAACAGAGCAAGACTTAACTCAAAAAAAAAAGTAAATAAAAATAAATAAATACAAATGCCTCTTAGGTTTGAGCTACTTAATGAACTACAATTAAGAAGTTAAAAACTTTTTTGAAACAATTAACTTCATAATTAGGCCTCATTTTTTAAGTGATCTCAAATACCTTCTTTTAATTAAACCAGTTTAATTCCCTGGTAGAAACTCCTCAGTTGCCTTTAAAATTTGTGGAACACTTGCTACAACATGGCAATTAGATGTAAATTTGAATTACATGCTATTTGAATCACTTCATAAACTTTAATTAAAAATAAGCACTTTGGCTATAACAGTCTGAAGTAAAGTGCTTATAGCTAAAGCCAAAGGTCTTAACAATAAAATTAACCTTACCTCAACCAGCACCTTGAACACATTAGTATGCCAGACTGCCCGCCATCCACATGTTTCAAGGACCTTCTCCAAGAAATCAGCTGTGAATTCCTTTACCTCAGAGGCCTTGCAGTCAGCTACAAAGAAATTAAACACAGGAAGAAATGAGAATGCATAAAGCAGAGGGAAGTTAATAAATCCACTTAAATCCACTTTCTCAGAAACAACTGACAATCTGAGGGACTGAAACAGACAATCTACTTGTAAACTAAAAAAATAAAAGATGCAAAAAACCTACTCACCTAAAATGTAATCTTGATAGGCTCTGAATCGCTCATAGAATAGAAGTTGATTTGTTTGGAAAATTTCTGGGAAAAGGGTTTTTCCTTCTGGCATAAAACTTTGTAAACTAGAACCTGGTTTATCATGGTAGCTACAATCACTGCATGAATCTTCATCTTGGAACAAACCTTAAAAAAAAAAAAAAAAAAAAGTAAGTTCCAGTGCCTTATTGAATGCTTCTATTTTCATATCCTTGCATAGAAATCCCAAACAAAATACAAACAAGAATTTGAATATAAATGTTCTACTTACCTCTACCATTATCAGAAGAAACTAGTTTTCCAAACTTAAAAATATTTCAAAATCCAAATTCTACTTCAAAACAATAAGCTTTTAAGATCTTTAACAGTTAGATTTTTGTTGTTGTTCTATGATGTTTTGGGGGCCAGCAGAAAGCTGTTTGTTTTTGTTTTAGAAACAGTCTCACTCTGCACCTAGGCTGGAGTGCAGTGGTGCAATCATAGCTCACCCCAACCTCAAACTCCTTGGCTCAAGCAACCATCCTGCCTCAGCCTCCTGAGTAGCTAGGACTACAGACATGTACCACCACATCCAGCTGGAAGACAGTTGATTTTTAATTCAGTGGAAATCACTCAAGTTCTCCTTCAAAGCATACAGCCTGTGATTTATACTACAGTTAGTAAGTTACAATGATCAAGTATCTTATTTATTTTCCAAAACAATTCCATAAAGCTCCTTTAAGAAAGGGAGCTGACGTCCCCTCAAATGGGTTAAACTCTCCCATTATTTCCTACAATATCAGTCTGTCAATGGCCCTTCAATAAACAGGGATGAGCGAGTCTTAATAATCCATAAGATTTACTTCAGTAAGGGTATTAGATTCCTCAGTAATTTCAATGACTTTGTCTAAGGAAAAGATCAGAAAATGCAAATCACATTAGGTTTGGGCTACACATAATGTTACATAAGTTATGATTCAGCCAGTGGCATATCTAATTCTGTGTAATAAGATGTTTTTAAAATAAAAAAAAATATGTTTTTAATAAATGAAACATCTACCAAATAAGCAATGCTAAAAAGGGTAGCTTTTAGAATGCAGAGTAGTTTCGAGAGGTGGTTTCAGGGAAGGTATCTGATCTGTTAGCAGAAGCCTTTTTTCCCTCTCCCCCTTGATTTTCTCCTTCCTCTTCCTCCTTCATTTATTTGTCCCTGTTCACACCACCAGAAGTACTTGATCTACAGATGACCAAAGTATACTCAAGGGTCTACTGCTCACAAACACTGATGCACAAGAGCCTTAGAAGGCATCAGTACCTTACTGGCTGTGTGACAATCACTCTGTACCTCAGCTTCCTCTCCTATAAAGGGAAGATAAAATAGTACATCTACTTCAATTAAGAAAATTAAATTATTTGTTAATAATTTATAACAGTGCCTATTACATAATGTATATGTTTAGTAAAGAAACAGTAGTACTTCGGCACCATTTTTTTTTTTCAGCACCATGCTTTATAGCTACTTTGTTTTTGTTTTTCCAACTTTATGGAGGTATAATTAACAAATAGAAGTTATATACATTTAAAGTTTTTAACATGATGGCCAGGCATGGTGGCTCACATCTGTAATCTCAGCAGGTTGGGAGGCCAAGGAGGGTGGATCACCTGAAGTCAGGAACTCAAGACCAGCATGGCCAACATGGTGAAACCCCGTCTCTACTAAAAATACAAAAATTACCCAGGTGTGGTGGCAGGCACGGGCACCTGTAATCCTAGCTACTTGGGAGGCTGAGGCAGGAGAATTACTTGAACCCAGGAGGCGGAGGTTGCAGTGAGCTGAGATCGTGCCACTGCACTCCAGCCTGGGCAAGAGTGAGACTCTGTCTCAAAAATAATAAAATAAAATAAAATAAAAAATTACATGATGTTTTGATATACCTATACATTATGAAATGATTACCATAGTAAAGTGAATTAATATTTCCATCACCTCGCATACTTACCTTTTGTGTGTATCTGGTGTGAACACTAATGATCTACTCCATTAGCAAATTTCAAGTACAAAATTTGCATCATCACATCATTGCCTATTAATACTGTAATAATAACACAGTATTATTAACTATAGTCACCATGCTGTATTTACATCAGATCCCCAGAACTATTCACCCTGCGTAACTGAAACTTCGGACCCTTTGACCAACATCTGCCCATTCTCCCCCTGGCAACTACCACTCTACACTTTTTCTGTAACTTCCTCTTTTTTAGATTCCCCATATAAGTGATGTCATGCAGTATTTCTCTATGTTTGCAGCCACCTTAAAAACATTATTTCACTTCATCTTCACCACAAGTACAACCATTGGCTTAGTCTTGCAGATGGGAAAACTGAAGCCAAGCAACTTTTGCCAGTTGGAAAGGAAGGTTAATAGTGGAATTGTCACACTTATGTTTTCTCACTTCTCTGGGACTCTCTGCTACACAATACAACCGAAAGTGTTAACGTAAAAACGTGAACCAGCTTAAAATATCAGAAAAAAAAAAAACAGTAATGAAACTATGAGGAGGAAGAAAGGGCGGAGAACTAGGAGACGCCGGTTCTATTTCTGCACTCTGGCCTAAGTTGGGGCTTCTCGCTTTAGACACGCATTACCCTCTGTGCACAGGACGGCCAGGTAGGCAAAGGGTTCAAGCTTTCCTCTTCTTCGGGAAAGGGAAGTGTAGTTCGTGATCTCCTTTGAGATGCAGATGAAAAAGATGACCCCTTGCGCAACAGTAAATGCACAGTTCCCGCAAAGCGCATCCAGATTGGGAATTCGTGGCCCAACACAATCACCTCCAATCTCGGGGAAGCTGAGGTCAGAGAGTGGGGGAAAAGGGGGAAATGGGGAGAGGGAAGAGAGGGAGTCCCCTACACCGACCACCAGGTACAGCCTGCTTTTGACGTCCCGGTCACAGGGTCCCAGCAGCTCACCGCGGTCCCCTCCACCCTGGACAGCCGGGTCCGGAAGGCCTGCAACCCAGGCGCCCACCGAGGGTCCCGACGCCCCAGGCCTCCACTGAGAGGCGGTTCCTCCAGCCCAGCATGGTGGAGCTCACCTTTCTCCAGAGACGCCGGCTCCTGGTCGGCCGCCCAGCCCGTGCGCTCGGGAGCCATGGCCGCCGCCTCCAGACCGCCGCCCGTCAGCGACCCGTCAGCCATTTCAAATTTCCGCGGGCAGCAGCCCCGGCAATGACGGGATGACGCAGGCGCTGCTGACTGGATAGTCGGGCCGAGGCCGTGGACCAATTAGAGTCTGGCCCCGCTTCAGCCCCCACCAACCCGGTCGCCGCGCCCCGGGCGGACAGCTGTTCCTGTTCAAGTGCCCGGCCTATGCTTTTCTCGGATGAACTTGAAGAAAGTGAAATTAGGACAAAATCTGGAATGATTTTCGAAAAAAACAACGAACAACACCTAGAAATAAGATGTAGTGGAAAAGTAACTGTGTTGAGAGTCAAAAAACATAGTATTTAGACTTAAAAAACATAGTATTTAAACACCATTCCTAGAGGTGTTGCCTTGGGCAAGTCATTTCACCTCCCACAAGCGCAACTTCAGCTGGAAAGGATGCTGGCCTTGGTGGGCCCAAGACTTTCACCACCAAAAACCTGTGTCTCTCTGCCTTTCAATATGCACACATGCAGCATATTTTTAAACAATGTCAAATTAAATTTAGTAAGTAAATTTGTTAATTTGGATTAATCAAAGGCAACCTATAATTTTCAATATAATGGCTAACATTGACTGTGTATTGTGTGCAAGATGCCTTCCTGCATGCATTACCTGCGTTGTCCTGTTTAATCTTCACAACAATCCTATAAGACAGTAGCTATTACTATACCCATTTTACAAATGAGCAAATGGAGTCACTAAGAAGTTAACTCATTTCTCCAATCTAACCCAGCAAAGCCAGGATGTGAAAGCAGCCAGACTCTATGAAGAAACCTTTTAATGTCTCTGCCAGGCCATCACTGCCAGAATGATGAGGTCAGCCTGAGATAGCCCAGGTTACCAGGACACCAGGTGGGATGAGTCCACAGGAGGCCAAAAGCCTGGTCATGACAGTTCTCCTGTGCAGTCTTAATTCAGGGAAACATTTCCACTTACTGCTTTGAAGAAATACCTTGGGCTAAAGTCTCTCTGATCCCTTACAGCTGGAATAAAATGGAGCCAGGAGACCTGACTATGGAAACCTGCACTTAATTGGGCTAGCTTTTCCAGGGAACAAGATTTCTCTGACTGTTGTGTGCAGAGTCTGACCTTATATTTACTTTCTCACTGAACAAATACTTATTGAGCACCATGAGGTGAAACACAGAATGCAATAATCGAGACTAATGACTGACCTTGAGGACTAAGCCAGCTTTCTCATTATCCTCCCTTCAACCTTCCCACCCACAAACCTTGCAAGTGGCAACATTTCTCCTCACCCATTTGCATCATCACTGGATGCAACACAGTCCTCTTCTCATCCAATTACCAAATATTTCACCAACCATCACGATATTGCTAAAACCAGGGGGCATAGTGGCTCATGCCTGTAATCCTACCACCTTAGGAGATGGAGACAGGCAGATCACTTGAGTTCAGGAGTTTGAGACCAGCCTGGGCAACGTGGTGAAACTCCACCTCTACAAAAAATACAAAAAAAAATTGTCTGGGTGTGGTGACATGCAGCTGTGGTCCTAGCTACTCAGGAGGCTGAGATGGGAGGATCTCTTGAGCCGAGGTTGCAGTGAGCCAAAATCACACCACTGCACTGCAGCCTGTGCAACAGAGTTAAACCCTGTCAAAAAAAAAAAAGATATTACCCAAATCATGGCTTCTGGAAAATCTTAGGAACTGGAGACAACAGAGTCGAAGACAAAATACCTACGCTTTTGCAAACTCCACTAAGAACAAACTATTAAACTACATACGTTTCCCAGTGCAGTGGCTCACACTTGTAATCCCAGCACTAAGGGAGGCTGTGGTGGGCGGATCACTTTAGGTCAGGAGTTCAAGACCAGCCTGGCCAATAAGGTGAAACCCCATCTCTACCAAAAACACAAAAATTGGCCAGGCATGGTGGCACACACCTGTAATCCCAGCTACTCAGGAGACTGAGGCAAGAGAATCACTTGAACTCAGGAGGCAGAGATTCCAGCGAGCCAAGATCATGCCACTGCACTCCAGCCTATGTGACAGAACAAAACTCTGGTTTCAAAAAAATAAAAATAAAAAAAATTAGATACATTTGCTATACACTAGCCCTTCTCATTTCCAAACCTACATTGACGTGTATTCACTACTTGCTCAGATTATACCAAAGACTTTTAGTTTTCCCCTAAGTGAAGACCTTATAGGAGCATACATTTCTTGAGAGTTTGCTTTCCCTGCTCCTCCTCATCCTACAGGAAAGGATTTTCTCCCTCCTCCATTTCAATCCCTCTACCTGTGGCGCATCACAACTTTCTCCCTGCCCTAAGGTGGCTGTTACCTGCTCTTCCTGCCTTATTTATAGCTTTGCTTTCTTTCTCATCACTGGGTCCACATGTCTACACATGTGCTCCAAAATATCTGTTCTCCCAAAAACACTTTAAACTCATCTGCAACCTTGAGATTCTACCCTCACAATCTCTTTCTCTGTAGTCCCAAACTGTTCAGCATAATGCCTTCCCGCTCCTGCCTTCTTTGAGGCCGGTAGCCCCTCTGGAGGCCCCTCCCCACACCCCACAGTGGCACTGACTCTGCTGACCTCCCACTTTGTAGTCTTTCCTCCCTTGGCCTCTGGGTCCTCACTTTCCCCGTCGTCCTTCTAGTTCATTGACTATAATACCTCAGTCAACTGCAGTGAGAAAGTAAGTGGAAAAGTCCAGAAATAAATAATTCATCAATTTCAAGTTTCGTGCCTTTCTGAGTAGCATGAATCATTTCTTTTCCAACATATCATGCTGGCATCATCAGGGCCAAGGGAACGCCCCCTGCCTTTGCCCTCTGAAGGTTCACTGGAAGTCAACTGTCAAAAGGCAGATTAATAGAAGAGAAGACCTAAAATATTATTGACATGCACATAAATCACAGTGATTATTCCACCATGCAGTGAAGTGCTGATGGTTCTGTACCCTTCTTCTTAGGGGAAAAGGAGGTAAGGAAGCATGGATGGTTTTAGGGGGATAGTAAATGATTTTTAGGGAATTCAATGGGCTTAAAAACATACAGTGAGGCTGGGCATGGAGGCTCACGCCTGTAATCTCAACACTGGGAGGCCAAGGTGGGTGGATCACCTGAGGTCAGGAGTTTGAGACCAGCCTGGTCAACATGCTTAAATCTTGTCTCTACTAAACATATATATATATATATATATATATATATATACACATATATATATATAAATTAGCCAGGCATGGTGACACCTGCCTGCAATCACAACTGCCCCAGAGGCTGGGGCAGGAGAATCACTTGAACCCAGGAGGCAGAGGTTGCAGTGAGCCAAAATCACGCCACTGCACTCCAGCCTGGGTGACAAGAATGAACCTCCGTCAAAAAAAAAAAAAAAAATCATACAGTGGCCTGGGACAAAGCCTATTGGGCCCGCAGAGCAGACAATGGTTTGTGACATGTCTATCCAGGTGCCTTGGCAGACTTCAGTCTTTCTTCCTGCAGTATGGAATTCAGTTGATGAAAACTCAGGGAGGGGACCAGAGGTGATTGTTTTCTTCTTTAGTAGGTTCAGACTTTAGACAGAATAAAAGAATCTCAGAGAACTTTGTTCTGTGCTTTGGGAGAGACAGAGGATTAAGTGATGGGTGGTGGGGGAGGTCAGAGAGATTCGTTCCACAAATAGTAAATATTTACTTACAGTCTAGACTATGCACCAAACTTTGTTCTAGGTTCAAGGGAAACAAGGCAAACAAGACAGACAAGGTCCCTGCCTACACAGAGCTCACAGCCTAGCAAGAACACATAATAAGCAAGTAAAAAACCAATTAACAAGCAAATTTCAAGCATTAAAAAAATACAATAAAACAAAATGCAGGCTGGATGCGGTGGTTCATGCCTGTAATCCCAACACTTTGGGAGGCCAAGGCAGGTGGATCATTTGAGGTCAGGAGTTTGAGACCAGCCTAGTCAACATGACGAAACCCCATCTCCATTAAAAATACAAAAATTATCCAGGCCTGGTAGCATGTGCCTGTGGTCCCAGTTACTCAAGAGGCTGAGGCAGGAGAATCGCTTGAACATGGGAGGTAAAAGTTGCAGTGAGCCGAGATCGCGCCACTGCACTAGAGCCTGGGCCACAGAGTGAGACCCCATCTCAAAAAAAAAAATAAATAAGTGCAGCAGTGTGACTGAAAATGATGGAGGGAGACAAATTCAGATTTTTATGCAAAACACCTGATTTTAAATGTAGCAACTAATTTTTACATTTTAAACACTATACAAGCCAGAAAAGCTTTATTCCCCAAGCCAAATTGTCCCACAGCTCACCAGATTGCAACCTCTGTTCTAAGCCCCAACTACTCAGGGCACAGTGCAGGAACCAGGAGGAGCTTGTTGGAAATGCAGTCTCTCCCACCCCAGCCCCAGACCTGCTGGGTTATTAGAATCTGTGTGCAGCAAAATCCCCAATCCCTGACTGATATAATTCACATTTGATGTAAAGCGCTTCTGAAGTCACCTCTCTCCTGAGGCCTTATCAATTTTCATATTGCTCCTGGAAAACTTGACGTGGGTTCTTGCCTATGATTCATCTTCACTGTGCTGCAAAGCCAGATCCAAGCACAGCCCTTCCTCCACCTCAGACGCCTCAGCTCCATCCTACCTCCCTGCCACAGCCTGTGTGGGCTCCCACCGTCTCACACTCAGGCTGCTGGGAGAGCCTCTGGGAGGTTGCCCTCTGAGAAGCCTCCACCTATCCTACTCTTCCTCTAGAACAAACTCTTCTCCTCTCATTGCCCCTAGTACAGGAGTTGCAAACTTAAATGCCCCAAAAAGCCAGGCTGATACCAAGCAAAGAAGTGGTGCAGTGCACATACTGGTGTATGTGCAGTGGGATGTGAACCCAGTGTTGCTAGGGTGGCCTTTCAAGAAAAGTCAGAAATCCAGATTTGTATGAGAAATCTCCATATTAAAATGTGACCAACAGGCCGGGTTCCGTGGCTCACACCTTTGGGAGGGGGATTGCTTGAGGCCAGGAGTTCGGACGGGCCTGGCCAACATGGCGAAACCTCTTATCTACTAAAATTATCAAAAAAAATTAGCCAGGTGTGGTGACAGGCACCTGTAATTCCAGCTACTTGGAAGGCTGAGGCATGATAATCGCTTTAATCCAGGAGGCAGAGGTTGCTATGAGCTAAGATCATGCCACTGCACTCCAGCCTGGGCAACAGAGTGAGGCTCTGTCTCATAAAGGAATAAATAAATAAAAGAAAATGTGACCAATGG